GGAGGATCACAAGTTCAAGGCTAGCCTGGGCAACTCAAGGAAAACCCATCTGAATGTAATTGAAAGAAAGGCTGGGGACATCCCTAACTGGTACACTACTTGCCCAACCTGGCTCTTCCTTTAACCCTCAGTACAAAATAAAAGATACACACTGACTGAACAGCCAGGATATCTGGCACAGGAATGTGTTTGGCTGCCATTTCTGCCCTCTGGGTGTGCTTGGGCTGGATGGCTGCGGGGTTCATGTCTGACAGTTGAGACCTCTGATATGATGAGGTCGAGTCACTGCCTGGCTTCTCTCCCTCCAGACTCACCCTCACGGCCTGAGTCACGGCTGGTGCTGGCTGGCACAGCTTGTGAACATGGAGCCTCTGTCTGACGTGACAGCCACCATCCTTTTTGACTTCTTGGAGGTATGTAATTCAGCCCTCACCCAAGAGAAGGCCAGCAGTTCCGGTGACCTCAGGACCATGAGTGACACGAATGGGGAAGTGGTATAGGAGTGGAGCCCTGCTGGGCATAGTGGTACACACCTGTAATTCCAGCACACAGAAGGCTCAGGCAGGAAAATTGCTGTGAGTTCAAGGCCAGCCTGCACTGTGTTTTGAGACCCTGTCTTAGAAAAGAAAGAGCCTGGTGGTGAGGAACACTGGGCTAGTGACACAGGTTTTTCTGAGCTATAAGAGAAACCTAGCTTTCACATTTTTAGCCACTGTACTTGCCTTCTTCAGGTAGATGCTTGTTTTTATAAAGAAAATGTATATATCCTAGCAGAAGAGAAGGCATATTGAAGGACTCCCAGACCAAGGGTTCCGTGTGCCTTGGTGTCTCCAGGGCCTGGAGTCCCGCCAGCACGCAGACCACTGTCTGCAGGCCATGTGCCCTTTCTGGCCCTCCTCCCACATGCTGCCTTGGCCTCACCGTGGAAGCCAACTCTGCCTGTTTTCCTGTGCACAGTAAGGGAAGGGGCCACCCTGGGCTGTCACTCAGTGTCACTGTGGTGGTGTCCGTATCACCTGCCCCATTAAGAAGGCTCTGCACACTTCCAGCTGTGGCTGAGGGAGCTCCTAGTGGGTGAGGCAAGAGCTTCGACAGGAAGGATGCCCTCGCTACGGAAGGCTTGGGGTGCATACAGGACCAGCCTGCAGCCATCTGGCCAAGGGTGCCAGCAGGTCTGTCACTTCCTAGGTCCCAAAGTTATGCTACATGAACAGGAGCTGAGGCTCTGAGAACTCAGGTGTCCCCGGATTCTTTTCTTCCCACGGCTGGGGTGCAAAGGCTTCCGTGCAGTCCTGACAGCGTGGCTCTGCCTAGAAGTGCCTCCTGAGCCCTTCTCCTGGCGTAGAGGAGGGTTGGGTTTCCCCTGCATTTCCTTCTTAGCTGGTCCAGCTGCACTGTAAAAGCCAAAGAGCTGAGTATGCGCAGTAGATGTGTCCCGCGTCCACTCATGGTGCCTGTCTGTCCCTCCAGGTGTGTGGCCATGCCCTCGTGAAGCAGTACCAGGCCCAATTCTGGAAGATGGTACTTCTCATCAAAGAGGAATACTTGCTCAGGTAGCAGGCTTGTGCAGTGGGCATGTGGATTTGTTTAAACAGATGAGCCAGGTCTCAGAGTCCCTTGAGTGCTACTTATTCCCTGCAAGGTGTTGTTGTTGTTGTTGTTTTTCTTACCAGTAATCAAACTCAGGACCTCATGCTTGTGAGGCAGGAGATGCACCTCTGAGCTATATCCCTGGGTCGCCCTCCCTGCAAATTTTGACTCACATTTAAAAATTTATTCATTCTGAGGTAGAGTGCTCATTCAGCATGTGCAAGGCTCTGGGTTTGACTCCCCAAAAAGAAAAGCCTGTGTTTAGGATGAAATCTTCTTATTCCTGTTGTATCCTTCTATTTGACTTGAACAAGTGGTTTTTAGTAGGGTCAGCCAAATAGCTCAGCAGATTAAACACCTGCAAGCAGGTGCAGGGGCCTTGGGTTCAATCCCCGGGCCTGCCATGCCGGCCCCACCCCCAAGGCACGCTTAGTGATTGAGACTGGGCATGGTGGCATGTGCCTGTAATCCCAGCTCTTGGGAGGCTGTAAACAGGAGGATCACTATGAGTCTGATATATTAGTGAGACCCTGAACACCCTGTAGACCCTTCCCTAAAAATTAAAAAACAAACAACCAGTTTTTAATTCTAATGAGAGTCTCTTAAATCCTGTTGGCTAAGGGCTGGGGAGATAGCTTGGTGGTTTAAGTGCCAGCCTGGCAAGGGCAAGGACCCAAGTTTGATCTCTGGTACCCCATGCAATGCAGGCCCCAGAACCTCATGGGCACAGTGCAGGCCCCAAAACCAGGCGTAGTGGTGCGTCTTTAATCCCAGCACTGGGGAGGATAAGACAGGAGGATCACTGAGTCCAAGCTGCACAAATAAATAAAGACATTTAAAATTCAAATCCAATTGTGTTGGTCAAGCCAAACACAAAGCAGGTCTTAGATTAGGTACCTGGTATTTTTAAAATACTCCTTTTCAAACTCCCCCAGATAATCTGGGTGCCAGTCACGCATCACAGAGGCAAGTGCCCTCACTTAGTAGAAGAATCAGATATACTTTTCTCTCACTGTTGAGACAAAGTACCTGACGCCGAAAGCTAAAGGAGAGGTTTATTGAGCTCACTGTTTGTAGGGGTTTCAGTCTGTAGGTGGCTGGCTCCAAGACAGGGTGGTGTGGCAGATGCATTGCAGGGGAGAAATAACTCGTGGTGGGCGGAAGGTGGCAGCAAGCGCGCGATAAAGGCGAGCCTCCGTCTGCCCCTTATACTGCATTCAGTCTGCCAGAATTAGGGTCTTGCCAAACCAATCAGTAGACTGATCCAGCAGGCATCTACTTTTAACCCTAGCATCAAACCGTAAATCAGTAACACATCGTAGATTCCGCCACCTCTGAAAAGCCCAACCTATAACTGCACAAGGCTTTGGGGGCACATCTAGACACAGCCCTAATGCCCATCAGTTCGCGCGAGTGCTGTGGAGCCGATCTCAGTACACCTGTCCTCAATTCAGGTGGGGGAGGCTGTAAGGTGGTCCATCCCACCTGATCACGATGACCTCAGAGGGGAGCAGTGCTGTCTTGTCTTTTGTCCCTTATTTGGGGCCATGTGGAAGAGTAGAGCATGTGTGTCTTAGAGGACACTGCTCCAAGTCACCAGATCTGCCCTACAGCCCAAGCAACAGGTCCCAGACCTCTCTGGAAGAGGCGGGCCCTGTGGTGGGATTCACGGGTCGTGGTTCTCTCCCTGTAGAATCGAAGCCGTCACGAGCTCAGGACAGATGGGCTCCTTCATTCGCCTCAAGCAGTTCCTGGAGGTAAGCTGCCCTTGGCCCAGCACCTCGCGGCTTTTGGCCTGGACTGCTCCATCTGCTGAGAGGTCTGGGCCTCCGGACACTGCTTGCAGCCTCTGCCTGAGTTCCCACCCGCTGCTCTTGGCTTCTTGAATTCCCCTTTGGACTAAGAGCTGGTGTTTTATCTTCCCGTGTGTCATCCTCCACAGTCCTGTTAGGCAGCTGTCCTTGAAGATGAGTCAAATACATTTAGTGACTCTTCTCCCACCAGTACGTTGTTTCACATGTTGGCCAGAGTTCTTCCCTCTGCCTCTGGGATGCTGGGTATTACAGGTGTGTGCCACTCCAGTCAGCTACCAAGAATTCTTGTTTTCTGTTTTTGGTGGTACTGAGAATCAATGTAATATGCCTGGCTTACTAAGAAATTTTGAGGGGTTCATTCTTATTTATTTTTTAACTTATTTTCTTTTATGTATTTGGTACAGGGTCTTACTACACAGCTCAGACTTGTAGTGATCCTCCTGTTTTCAGCCTCCCCAGCACTGGGATTATAGGCATGAGCCACCACACCCAGTCTCAGTGGGCTCAGTATGCTCAGGGCAGGGCCGGGACCACTGGGGATCCAACCCTGTCCCTGTGCTTGCCTAAGCAGGCACTTAGTCCCCTGAGCTACCTCTGTGGCTGAGGGTTTCTTTTTTTTTTTTTTTTTTTTTTTGTGGAACCGGGTATTAAATTCAGGCCCTTGTGCTTGCCGGGCAAGAGCTTATTCTACTGAGCCATCTCCCTGGCCACCCCCTGCCCTTTTTTTTTTAAATGTATTTGGCACAAGGTCTCACTATGCAGCTTGGACTCATAGTGAACCTTCTTTTTTCAGCCTCCCCAGCGCTGGGATTACAGGCATGTGCCACCACGCCCGGACTCTGATGGCCGGCTTGGCGGGCCCGAGGGCAGGGTCAGCGCAGCATGAGGGGTTCCTTTTTAATTTCATCGTGAGTCTGCCAGGATAGCCAGCCCCTGACTTTCAGCATGTGTGACGGCTGAGACGGGGTTTTCTGTAGTCTTCAGCAGCACTGATACTGTCTCCCTGCTGGGCCCTGACTTCGGCCCACTGCTCTGCAGGACTCAGCTTGCTGTCCTCAGTGTTCTCAGCCCTGTATCGGAAGCGGTGGGATCAGAAACTCATTCCGGTTTTTTCATCTTTTTCTACCTAGAAATGTTTGCAACATAAGGAGATCCCGGTCCCCAAGGGCTTTCTGACTTGTTCCTTCTGGCGCTCCTGATGTCACCTGCGGTCACCATTGTGTTGCAGAGAAGCAATAATAAAGTAACGAGAAGTGGCTGTATTTGGAAGATGTCAGATTTAGAAATTTGTCAGTCTATTCTATGTATTTTTACCATGTGATTAGGTGAGATTTTTCACAGGTGCAGGCCCTGAGCAGATGGGGTAGGTGTCCATGTGATAGTGATTGAAATTACCCTTCTTAATTTGCAAAAATCATGAGCAAAAGCCTTCCCCGCTTGGTCTCTTCCTTTGCTTCCCTTGCCTTTGGGATCTGTGGGAGCTGGCGATGTCATGACCATTTCGCGCTGAGCTGCACTGAGCCACCTTCCCACAAAACCCCCTTTAGCATGTGGACGTGCCAGCCTGGGCGGTGGGGTTAGCCTCTCAGGCCAGGAGGGGATGTGGGCACAGAGCAGATGTGTGCTGTGGGCAGGGCCTGAGCACACCCGGGCAGCTGGGTGTCCAGGGTGAGAACGGGCCGCGCATCGCGCTGGACAACAGGGGACTGATTCCTTAATTTGGATTCTCCTTCCTGCAGTGCTAGGGATGCATGCACCAGAGTCAGCTCCTGTTTTGTTTTTAGTTTGTATTATGATGCTCTGTAGCAGCATGGTGGTGCACACCTGTGACTTCAGCACTCGGAAGGCTGGTGCAGGAGGATCACCATAAGTTTGAGTCTGGTCTTGGCTACAGCATGAGTTCAACTCCGTCCTAAACTCCGCAGTGAAACCCTGTCTCAAAAACATAAGCAGGAGGGGCCAGGGAGATGGCTCAGTGGAATAAGTGCTTCCCTGGCAAGCGCAAGGGCCTGAATTCAATCCCTGGTTCTGAAAAAAAAAAAAAAAAAAAGCAAGAAAAAAAAAATCAGCAAACAGTGGGCTGAAATGGGGCTTGCAACATGCATGAGCTTGCTGTCCGCAGAGGGGCAGTAGTCAGGGTTGAATGAGGTTTGGGAGGAGTTCGGAGCTACTGTGTAACCTTTGACGTGCTCTGAGTACAGGATCATGACTAGTTTGCTTGCCTAAAACCACTACAGAGGCCCTGAGAGGGGTTGCTGGCGTCCAGGTGTCTCGGGCAAAGACTTACGCTGCAGGCCCAGCAACAGGCTTTGCTTTCGACGCTAGAGCCGTGCACCTCGGTGGCACAGGTACTCTGGGGTGGCTCACTGGGACGCATTCTGTGAACTGATGGCTGTGGTGACAAAGTACTTACTAAAACTTGATTTAATAAATAAATAAACAGACCCCTTGCTGCTGTATAGTTTGTTCAGTAGGATCGCCTTCCTGTGCCTTCAGTTGTGCACTTGTCACTAGGGGCCTGGCGTGTGGTTCACGGGCCCAGATCTGGAGCAGTATGTTCCTTTCTTCTCCTCTTAACCTGCACCTTGAGAAAACCATTTCTTTTCTTTTCTGGAGTTATGTTCTAATAGCTGGCTCTGGGTGTTTGAGTGTTATTTGTTTTTGAGACAGCATCTTGGTTTGTGGTTCATGCTTGCCTTGAACTCATTTTGTAGCCCCAACGGGCCTGGAACTTGCAGAGATGATCCATCTGTCTCAGGCTCTCAAGTGCTGGGATGACAGGCACGAGCTGTCACCTCCCACCATCTGACTCTTGTATCTACAAGAGATGGTGAGGGGCTAGGGTTCAGCTCAGTATCGGAACACCTGCCTGGCATGTGTGAGGCCCCAGGTTCCATCCCCGGCACCCTCCACCCCCCAAAAGAAATGAGTTTTGAAAGCCTTGTTAGTGTGGGCACAAGGCAGAGCAGACAGCAGGACTCCTGGCCTTGACTGACCTTGAGCTTTGGGTAGGTCACACTAATGCTTTCTGAACTTCAATGTTCCCCATGCAAACAGGAATTGCTGGGTGGGTGGCCCATGCCTGTAATCCCTGCACTCGGGGAGTCAGCCTCAACTACAAAATGAGACCCTGTCTCAATAAACGAATGCATCTTATCACAGGCGCTTTCAGATTAGCTTGGTAGCCCCAGCCCCTCGGGGTCCGGCTTCCCGTCCTGCTCTCATCTGCAGCCTGTGGGGCCACAGGACAGGGCGCGTGGTGGGTGAAGGCTCCCTCCCTGTTAGCACTCATCTTGTGCTGCCTGCTGAGCCCTGGGAATGCATCACTTCCCTTGCACTGGGCTGGAACAGGCTGGGCAGTGCTGACAGCAGGAAAGCGGGGAGGGGTGCTGGAAGGGTGAGGCTGAGTCCAGAGCAGACGGAGGCTCCCCCAGGTTTCTAGAAAGCATCCCTTCAAGACACTGCTGCCTTCTTTTTCTTTCTTTCTTTTCTTTTTTTTTTTTTTTTGCGGAACCGGGGATTGAACTCAGGCCCTTGCGCTTGCCAGGGAAGTGCTTATTCCACTGAGCCATCTCCCCGGCCCTGCCACTGCTGCCTTCTGCTAGAAAACTTGCTCATTACCCACTGCAGCCCTGAGGTGCGGGCTGGTGAGCAGTGCAGCCCGTTTCCCACAGCTGTTAGATGGGGCCCCATTAGAGTGCTGGGGTCCTCTGCACAGTGTCTTCACTCTGCATGTGCTCTGTGAATGGGCTTTCATGTAAGGTTAGGTAGAAATCACCATCAAAACTGGAATGTGGGCCAAGCACTCCTGGAGGCTGAGGCTGGAGGCACATAGGTTTGAGCCCAATGTGGGCAACTTAGCAGTTTCATGGGACCTTGTTTCAAAAAACAAAGGACTTGGGGCCGGGGAGATGGCTCAGTAGACTAAGCGCTTGCCTGGCAAGTGCAAGGGTCTGAGTTCGATCCTCGGTTCCGCAAAAAAAAAAAAAAAAAACAAAGGACTTGAGGACATAGCCCAATGCAAAGACCCTGGGTTCAACCCTCAATAGCCCAAAATATATGCTCTTGGCTTTGCCATTTGATGCTTGTGTTCCTGATAGATTCTTAGGTAATCCAAGAAAGAAGTGTACCAGGGGCCAGCGTTCTGATCACCCTCAGAGCGTCACCTCAGAAACCTCAGGAAACCTCAAAGGCTGCAGCCCTTTCAGCAGGAGCACCAGATGCTTCACTACTGATGCTCAGGGCCACATTGGCTTCCAACTCGCGGGCTCAGCTGCTTGTGTCCTTCCAGCGTGGCCTCATTTCTTGGGCCAAGTGCCGCACTTCTGTCATATAGTTGTCTATGCCACCTTAGAACAAATCTGAAGGGACTCCAGGCGGACAGAAACTGCATGTCTATTGTGCAGAGTGGTGCTGCCTGGGGTGTTTACCTGCTGCTGCAGCTTCCCCTCGAGCATCCTGCAGTGGCACTGACAAAATCAAGGTCTAGACTCAGCAACCTGAAAAGAGGACACTGATGACAAAGGTTGCCTTGAATCCATTAACTTTTGGCCAGATAAGTTGATTGGGGGCTGGGGAGATAGCAGCCCCAGTCTAAGTGCCTGCCTGGCAAATGCAAGGATCTGAGTCTGATCCCTGGTACCACATGCCATGCTGGCCCCAGAAACTGAGGCCAGGTGTGGTGGTACAGAACTGTAATCCAAGCGCCAGGGGGGTAAAACAGGAGGGGGATCACTGCAAGTCCGAGTTGCATAGTGAGAGCCTGTACTAAATAAATAATAAAGGTCTTTTGTTTTTTTTTTTTTGTTTTTGTTTTTTTTTTAAGTTGATTTGAAGGGGGCAGGGGAGATAGCTCAGTGGAATAAGCACTTGCCTGGCAAGTGCAAGGGCCTGAGTTCAATCCCCGGTTCCGCAAAAAAAAAGTGCTTGCTTGATGTGTTAGGCTAAAAGCTATAGTTATGGGATCGTAAGAGAGAAGACTTACTTCATCCAAGGCAGAGTTTCCCACAAAAGAGCTTTACAGCCACATAAGTTTGGGAAATACGTTACAGATCAGCCAGGCATGCTGGCTTATGTCTAATGCCAGCACTCTCAGAGGCTGAGGCAGGAGGATCTCAAGTCTGAGATCAGACTGGGCACATTAGCTAGACCTGTCTCAAAATTTTTGAAAGAAGACTGTGAGTCCAGGCATGGTGGAGCATGCCTGTAATTCTAGCACGCAGGAGGCTGAGGCAGAAGGATCACTGAAGTCAAGGCCAGCCCAGAACTACATAGCATGACCCTGTCTCAAAAAAAGAAAAAAAGAAAAAAAAAAAGAGTCTGCGGATGTACTGAGTGCAGAAGCCCAGAGTTCAAGCTGTGCATGGTGGCACATGCGCGTAACTCCAGAATGCGAGGCTGAGGCAGGAGGACTGCTACAAGGCCAGTCTGAGCTGCATAGTGAGACTGTCTCAAAAAGAGAAAAAAGGCCTAGGTTTGGTTCCCAATATGAAGAGAGAGACAGACCCAAGGAAGAAAATAAAAAGGAAAAAGGTAAACTAGGAAAAAGCAGGCCAGGTGTGGTGGCACATGCCTGTGATCCTATTTGGGAGGCAGAGGCAGGTGGATCGCAAGCTCAAGACCAACCTGGACTGTATAGTGAGACCCTGTCTCATAAATTAGTGAAGGCAGGAGACGGGAGTGAGCGCTAAGGCTTTCCCTAGCATATACTCGGCCCCAGGGTCCCTCCCCAGTACCAGTAGCACATATACACACAAAAAACGTAAAACCAGCCAGGCGTCATGGCTCAAACCTGACTCAAGACTGAGACAGGAAGATCATGAGTTTGAGGACAACATAGACTGTCCCAAAAATAAAATCCAAAAAGGCCAATCGTGCTGAAGGGAAGAGCAGGTACAGAACCAGCCCTCTGGCCCAAAGGAAGGCAAGGCAGGTAAGAGAGCCAGGACCAGTAATTGCTGCAGGTGGGCGATGGTGACCCGGAAACAGCCAGCGATGGGTCCATAGATAGACAGGGATAGAAAGAGACTTAGGCGGAGCGCAGCCATGTAGTCACCAGCAGCAGCAGTACAGGGAGTACGGGGAGGCCAAGGCAGGCGCTCTTCCAGTCAGCCTCCAGGAAACCAGGGAGCTGAAGGCTGGAGAAAGATGGGGATCCCAGCCCCAGGCAGCAAGCAGCAGGGGTGCAATTCCTCCTCCCTTTGACCTTATCTGACTGGGGACAGCTACTCACACTGGGGGACAGTTCATTGAACCCACAGATTGAAGTGCTGTTGTCCAGAAACATCTTCACAGACACCCAAAAAATGTGGAATCTGGACACCCCATGTCCCAGTCAAACTGACACTTAACCATCTCCAGGCCTGATGGCATACATACAATACCAGCACTCAGGAGGCTGAGGCAGGAGGATCGCTGTTCAAAGCCAGCCTGGATTACACATTGACTTCCAGGCCAGCCTGAACTACATAGTGAGACTCTGTTTAAAAAGGGGAGGGAAGGTTGGAAGATAGTTAAGGGGTCTAAACACCTGCCTGGCAAGGACAAGGTCCCAAATTCAATCCCAGGTACCACAAGC